TGTTAGTAGTAGGTTCTTTACTATTAGACTTACACTATGGGCCATATTCACATCTTTGGTGGTAAAAAAATAGTGATAATAAAGAAAATGAAATCTCAAATTACTTTCTGATTCGTATTGGTCAAACCACAAAAGTTGTTTTAAATGAAAAAGACTTTTATATCACTATTTTATTAGGAAATTCTGAAAACCCTTTTGCTTCTGGATTTATTTATACTTTTAGGCGTCTTTTTAAGCAATGTAGAAAGTAGTTCTTCTGCTGCAATTTTGAATCTATATACTAGTATATTTTAAAAAAAAACACGTTTTTCTAGTCCACTTATAATAGGATAGAATGATAAAAATATAATTTCACAATTATCTCAAAATATTCCTTTTTTTCTTTTTCTTTTCTTCTTGGAAAATATCTAATTTTTATTTATGGTATTGGTGTTTCATTACATAAAGATTAGAATAATGGTGGGTTAGGATACAAAGCTTCACTCAATAATAAGTATCTTAATAAACCGGCAATATTTGTATCTACAATTAGTGATGAAAATTGTACACTTGAAATCTATCAAGATTACAAAGTTCAAAAACAGTTTGTAGCCAGTTCTCCAAATGAAGTATGGGAAATTTCAAAGTTTATAAAACAATACAAGGGAATCCAAATTTTTGGCCTTGAAAATTCTTTTACAAAAAAATTTATTCAAGAGAATTCAAAACCCACATGTTTACCAGATAATTGGCATTTTTTTTTTATTAAAACCTGTATTTGATTATAATCTTAAATGTCGAACACTTGCAAATGTAAAATAGTATCAATTCTTTGAATCTTGGGCTAAAAGTGAAAATCCAATAATTGAATTTATGTCTAGTCTTGAAAAACTTTATCCAAATGAGTATGAGTTTAGTGATCAGGAATTGAGAGCATAGAAAATAATGTTACACACTGCAGGTTATCACAATATAACACCTTGGTCAACTAATGAATCAGAGGTATAGTAACATGTAAAAATTTAATTTTGTGTATTTTATGTATAATTTAATTTTGTAAAAAAAAATGTGATTATGTATAGAAAATAGAGTAACTAAAAAATTATTAGCATGTAATTTATTTCAATAATAATTATTATAATTTAATTTAGTAAAAAGATATGGTAACTAAATAAAATTATTAAAATTTCATTACAAAGTAATAAAAAATCTTATGTATCAAAGAAAATTTATGATATAGCAAATATTCACCATTTTTTTATTATAAGCTAATAAAATAATATTCTAATTTATTTTATATAATCACTTTAAGTAGCAATTTTGGATACGATCAATTGATTACAAAAAAGATGAGAATTTATTATATATATTGTATAATTCAGGATTTCTCTAAACCAAGTCTCAGTATATTTTAAATCAGATTCTAATTTTTTAGGATTGCTTTATGCATGCAATGATGATAAATAAAAAGACTCCAGATGGCAAGCGACATATATTATCAATTATTGCTGATAATTTTACATATGCTGAATTAGAATTACAATTAGAATTAAGATATTAATTTCAAATTATATAAGTAATTAATTTTTTATTTTAAAATTCTAATATTTAAATATTTGAAATTAAGATTAGTGTACATACCATTCTTAAAGCCTGTAAACATACACGATTTATTAATTATGGTACTCCATCACTATCCAAACCTATTATTCAATGAGTCAAATTACCAGAGGAATCATTAGCTCAATTTGAAGTGTTTTTTCAAATAAGAAAAATGTAAATATGAGTAGTTATAAGACAGATAGTAAAACTGGATTGCCTATATTATACCTTTAAGATACCAAAGCATCGTTATGAAAGAAATTTTCAGAATCATACCCTAATAGTATGCGAAGAACTACATTTATGACATGTCTTTAAGGAAATCGATATCAATATAAAGAGGATTTGGGAGGCTTATGCTCAACCTGTAATGAATGTGAATATGAAGTTTTTGTGGAGATTGAAGATTTGATTGAAAATTATATTGTTGATATTCAATTACAAGTATATTTACCTATTAATTAATGAATAAATTATTTTAATATTTATATTTCTAATTAAAATTTTAATAGAAAAAATTAAAAATACAAGCACAAATTTTGAGACGTTATTTGCGTAGAGATTTTGCAAAAGAATTAAATATTGATTTATCAAGTTGTGTGAAACATAGTAGATATATCAGTTATTATCTACCTCATACATTTGGTAAATATTATTTGGATCATCCAGATACTTGTGATAATTGTGAATCCCTTTATAATTTTTTGATACTTTACAAAAAAAACCTTGAAAAAAAACAACAAGAAAAGTTATCAGTCTATCAAAATCAATTGATTATTTTTATAGCACATCATGCTCACAAATCTTATCTCAATGCACAGTTTAATGCTCAATTCTCTCAACTTGATTCAGATGGAGCTTTAATAATTGTAAATTATAAGATGAAAATTCTTCCAAAAGAAGCTTGTGAAATAAAAATGAATGGTTCGGAAAAAGAGGATGGACGCTTCATTATGTTCTTGTGTATACAAAAAATTCTGAAAATAATAACTTGAATGTGCAAGCTTTTAACCATTGGTCTGGAGATACTCAGCAGGATGAATGGTTTATGGCATCTTTATTACATTCAGTAATAGAAACTTTGGAGCGAAAACCAAAATGGGTCACTATTATTTCAGATAATGAAGGATATTATCATAATACAGAATTAATAATTATTATGGGTCATTGGAAAGAATGGTATGATATAAGTCCTTGTAGATGGTTATTTTTAGAAGCAGGTGAAGCAAAAACTGCAATAGACTCTCACCATACTCAGGTATAAACAAATATCTGATTTTTTATATTATTTGTAATTAATATATATTATTATTTGTTTTAGATTTTCCATGCAATAAAAAGATAGGTAAAAATAGGACATAAAATAGAAGTAGGAGAAGACATTGAAAATGCTATCAAAAATCTTTCAGGTGCTCACATATTTCATCTTGAACCAGACTGTGATAAAGGTAAATATTTAGTTTCTTTTTTTTGAAAAAATAAATGATAATATCTTTTGAATAGAAAAAGGAAAATTAGGAACAATTAATAGTATATCAAATTGGCACGAGTTTACTTAGCCTGAAACAGGAGAGAATGCTGAATATATATGTGCCTGTGCACTGCCAGAGTTTGGTAATTGGAATAAAATTTCTTCTGGTCAAGTTGATAAAATTACAAAATCACACACCTTTGAAAAACCAATCCCAAGCTATACAACACATACATAACCTTCAAAATCATAGACTATACTATCAACATTAAGAAAAGGTAATTTGTCAACAAAATTATTTCGTAATTATTTTGTATTGACAAATATCATTTTTTTTAGAAAATACCCAAGGAGATCAAAAAATTCTGGAAGTAAGTATACAAAATATATCAATGTTTTTTTCATCAGGATACCTGGTAAAAGAGTCGTAAACAGGTTAAAGAAGAATAAATTGAAGGTATGGATATTGATCCAATATCAAAAAGGTATGTTGAACTTTTTATCATTCTTTTATATTGTGTTGTATAAAATATCATGAATATATTCATGTTTTTTTTTATTGGTAGTGCCATTATATTTGGTTGTGAATGGGCTCTATCTGAAAATTTAAAAGTGAATCAAAAAGTACTAACCAAACGAATCACAGAATATGTCAAAGGACTGCTTACTATAATGTTTCACACTGGTACTGCTAATCCTAGGCTGAAAATGAATACTAATGAAATACACGAGGAGCTTTTGAAAAGAGTAACAGATAATGAAATTTCCAAAGATAATGTGCTGAAAGTTTCTATAATTGCAAATTGGATAATAAGTATATCACGATCATTCAAGAAAACTATGATACTAAGGCTTCTTGAGGAAGCGGAATCATCTGAACAATAAGTTTATATTCAATTATGCAAAAAAAATTAGATTTTGTTTTTTATACTATATAATTTGTATCCTGATTCAATATATGAAGAAAATAATAATAATAAAAAAATCTACAGCTAAAAAAAAAAATGAAAAAATCTAATCTAACTAAATAATCTAAAAAAAATAAAATTGATGAAATATCCTCAAAACGCACAACAAATTCAAACTATTATTAAAAGATGAATAAAATCAATAAAAAGAAAAAAAGAAAAAGATTTCACTTCTGAATCTCAAAAAAATTATCGAAATTCAAGAACAAGAAAATAAATTTTCTCTAAATCCATAAAGAAAGAGAACCCTCTGGTGAATTGTTCTAAAAGATAAAAAAAATCAATAAAAAGAAAAAAATCGAAAAAAACATCCAGAAAAACAGATTCCACTTTCAAATCTCACAAAAAATTACTGTGAAATCCAAGAACAAAAAAAGATCAATTTTCTCTAATCCATAAAAAAGAAAGAGAAAAACTGGTGAGAGTGATAAATTATTCCCAAAATATAAAAAAAATCAATAAAAAGAAACATCAAAAAAAAACTAGAATAAAAGGAAAAAATTTTCTTATCTTTGAATCTTAGAATAATATTTATCACAAAATTCAAGAACAAATCAACAAAATTCTATTTTGAATCCATAAAAAAAGAGAAACGACATGAAAGGACAAATTTTTTCTAAAAGATAAAACAAATCAATAAAAAGAAACAAAATCAAAAAATAATCAATAAAACGAGAAAAAAAATCTCGTCAATTCACAAAGAAATTTACTATGAAATAGAAATAAATCAGATTTCTGAATATATAAATCGTTTTTAAAGATGAAAATAAAATCAATAAAAAGAAAAAAAAATTTCATAATTTCTAAAAAACTTACTATGAAATCCTTAAATTTAGGAGAAAAATAGAACTACAATGTTGACAAAAAAACTATAGCATCGCAACTTTTTGAGGAGTTAGAGTTATCTAAACCTTTAAAATAAACAAATTTATATTATTTTATTATGAAAAATTGCTAAATGTAAATTTATAAATTTCCATAATTTTCTTGGAATTCAGTGTTTGTATATAGTAAAGTCGTTAAAAATACAACTAATGACTAGTTTTATAATGACTTTTCAAATTCTCTAACCTTTTTTGTATTAGATCGTATGATTTTTGTGTGTACAAAAATAGTTTGTGTAAACTTACTATTTGAACGTTTTGTACCATTTTGAAGTGTTCAATAAATGATTAGCGAAAATTTACCTCAAATTCTTATATCAAATTTCTGCTGATCATATTTGAATCGGCAATTAAACTAAATACAAAATATTATAAAGGTGTTATTATTCCAGAACTTAAGCTTACTTTTAAGAAATTTGTATTAATTTACTAGTATAGAACTATTTTAAGTGATATTTTACTGATAGAAAAAGTTAAATTATTAGTTAATAAATTGCAAATATTTCAAGAAATATTACATGTTTGTTTAATTTTATTTAATTTTATTTAAGTTATATAATTTATTCAATTTTATTACTTTATTTAATTTATTTTAAAGAGCATTTAAAAATACTTTATTTAATTTTATTTAATTTATATTTTAATTTTTATAATTTTCTAGTGAATAGCTTCAAAAATTTAAGGATTGTAAGGGCAGTGACATATATTACCTAATATTTTTGGGGGTGTAGGGGTAACTGCTGGGTATTAGAAAATCTTAGATTACACATACATTTAGGTATCACGTGATATTAGTGGCTTAGATTTTGTAGATCATGTAATATCAGTGGCTTAGATTTATTAGCATTACTAGCATATACATAAATGTCACATTATAATTGTTATAAAAAAATTAATAAAATCATTCATTATCTGATAAATATTTCCTTAAATGTGTTTCGTCACAAAGAGGTCATTTTCGCTGTGAAGGAAGAAGAGAGAAATCATCAAGAGTCCCTGAATTTTGTCTAGGTTTTCCTTTGGGCCGCCCACGGCTAGCAGGATGCTTTGTTCGTTTATGGTTTGTCAAGTAAGTGAGAGTTGAGAAGTATTTATCACACTCAGAATAGCAAAGACGTGAATAGGTTGTTTAGTCAATGGACGGACAATATGCATCATACCCAGGAATTTTCAAAAGATCATAGTATTCAAGAAAGTGTATAGAGTTTGTGAAATGTCCGTTCCTGAATTTTGTAACTGGAGGTAAAAAACCATTGTTTAACTGAAGAAAATCTATAGCCTCTTGTATGCAAGTTGGTCTACAACAGCTTGTATCTGTACATCTTTTAATATCAAGAGAATATTGACACAGGTTACAATGATTTTCAATCTATGACCACAGCACAAAACATTCTGGTGAGTCATTTCCATTTTCTTGTTGTTTCTTTTTTTGTTGTTTTCGTGCTCCCACCTTTTCTTTTTCTTTTTCTGTACTTCCAAACTCCAGGTTTTCAAACGGATTGGCAAGTTCTTCAACATTTTGTGCATTTACGCTTTTTCTAAAAATCAAATCGCGATGCCAAATATCACAAAGCACCTCTCCGGCATATCAAAAGTTTTGAAGAGCCAATTCTGGATTAATCACTTTACCTTGTGTATCTAGATGTGTCCCAAAGTGATCGATTGGTAGAGTAATACCTGCCAATTTTCCAGATAGTATTGCCATGCCCCTTTCAACAGGATTATACTTGGATTATCCTGATGCGTATATCCGCACAGTGAGGTAATCTAAATCAAATTTTCAAAAAAGCTGAATGTATTTTTTAATATTCTTTAAATGTCTTGGATTCTCATCCGGTTTCCCATCCACTAATAATATCCAGATAGGTCGAATTTCTCTGTCAGCCTTCAACGCATTATCATATTAAGGATCTAGAATGAGACTTTCGAGGTCTTGCATATGCGTGAGTGAAGAAGTTCTAAGGGACCATTGACGACGTATAAAAATGGCAAGTTGTCCCATTCTCAAATCATTATTTAATTCATTCAATTTGATCATAAGGTAAACTGATAGAATTAACTTTTGCCCATATCCTGCAGGAAAGTCATGATCAGCTACACGAATAAGCTCGTAAACTAGTAGTATAAAAATGGGCTTTTTAGCACAAAAAGCCTTGAATGCCTACATAATCCCCAAATGTATCCAGAAGGTTATCCTGGATATCAAAAATTATACACATAGCGTAAACCCAT